GAGGAAACTTTATAGCACAAAGTTTTTATAGCACAAAATGCCTACAGAAAGAAGTGTGGGGAAAATCCCACACTACTGAATTAACAGACATTTAAAAACTCTAGAAAAAAAAAGAAGCAAACTCATCCAGAAGAACTGCAAAATGGTAGGAATAATCAATTTGAGAGCTGAAATCAACAATATAGAAACAAAGAAAACAATACAAAGAATCAATGAGACAAAAAGTTGGTTCTTTGAGAAAATCAACGAAATAGACAAACCTTTATCCAAACTAACCAAAAGGCAGAGAGAATATATCCAAATTAACAAAATCAGAAATGAAAAGGAGGACATAACAACAGATGTGTAGGAAATTCAGAAAATCATTAGGTCATATTTCGTAAACCTGTACTCCACATAATTGGAAAACTTAAGAAAATGAACAACATTCTGGATAATTATCACCTACCAAAATTAAATCAAGATCACATAAGCAAATTAAATAGATCTGTAACTGGTAAAGAAATAGAAGCCACCATCAAAAGTCTCCCAACCAAAAAAAAGCCCAGGACCAGATGGTTTCTGTGCAAAATTCTACAAGATTTTCAAAGAACTAATTCTAATGTTCCTCGAATTTTTCCACACAATAGAAACAGAAGGAACATTGCCAAACTCTTTTTATGACTCTACAACTACCCTGATACCCAAACCACACATAAACATTACTAAGGAAGAGAATTACAGACCAATCTCCCTCATGAACATTGATGCAAAAAGACTCAATAAAATACTGGTAAACCAAATCCAATAACATATCAGAAAAATCATCCACCATGATCAAGTTGGCTACATCCTACAGGTTGCAGGGATGATTCAATATATGAAAATCTGTAAATGGAATCCACCATATAAAGAACCTGAAAAATAAAAACCGCATGATCATCTCATTAGGTGCTAAGAAAGCCTTCAACAAAATACAACATCCTTTCATGATAAAGGTTTTTGAGAGAGCAGGGATACAAGGAACATACCTAAACACAATAAAAGCAATATACAACAAGCCAATAGCCAACATCAAACTAAGTAGAGAGAAACTCACAGCATCCCACTGAAATCAGGAATAAGACAAGGTTGTCTACTCTCTCCATATCTATTTAATACAGTTCTTGAGGTCCTAGCTAGAGCAGTAAGACAACAAAAAAAGATCAAGGGGATACAAATCGGAAAAGAAGAAGTCAAACTCTCATTATTTGCTGATGATATGATAGTTTACATAAGCAACCCCAAAAATTCTACCAAGGAACGTCTATGACTCATAAATACTTTCAGTAATGTAGCAGGATACAAGATTAACTAAAAAAAAAAATAGTAGCCCTCCTGTACACAGATGATAAATTGATAAATGGGCTGAGAAAGAAATCAGAGAAATATCACTCTTCGCAAAAGCCACAAATAGCATAAAATATCTCGGAATAACTTTAACCAAACAAGTGGAAGATCTTTATGACAAGAACTTTAAACCTTTGAAGAAAGAAATTGAAGAAGACAGTAGAAAATGGAAAGATCTCCTATGCTCTTTGGTAGGTAGAATTATCATAGTAAAAATGGCAATTTTACCAAAAGCAATCTACAGATTCAAAGCAATGACCATCAAAATCACAGCAAAATTCTTCATAGACCTCGGAAGAACAGTGCTCAGTTTCATATGGAAAAGCAAAAAATTCAGGATAGCCAAAACAATCCTGTACAATAAAGGATCTTCTGGAGGCATCAAACTCTTCTACAGAGCTACAGTACTGAAAACAGCCTGGTATTGGCATAAAAACAGACAGAAGGACCAATGGAAACAAATCAAAGACCCAGCTATTAATCCATTCACCTACAAACACCTGATTTTTGACAAATAAGCAAAAAATATCAAATTAAAAAAGAAAGAGTATTTACCAAATGGTGCTGGCATAACTGGATATCAACATGTAGAAGAATGAATTAGATGCATATCTATTGCCATGCACAAAACTCATGTCCAAATGGATCAAAATCTCCACATAAAGCCAACCACACTGAACCTCATAGAAGAGAATGTGGGAAGTACACTTGAACCTTTTGACACAGGAGACCACTTCCTAAATATAACCCCAGTAGCACAGACACTGAGAGAATCAATTAATCAATGGGACCTCTTGAAACTGAAAAGCTTCTGTAAAGCAAAGTACATGCTCAATAAGACAAAATGGCAGCCTACAGAATGGGAAAAGATCTTCACCAACCCCACATCAGACAAAGGACTGATCTCCAAAAGACACAAACACTCAAGAAATTGATCAAGAATTGAATCAGTATTGTGCAAATGTTGTGCATGCCAGTGATAAATACGTATTTAACAAATGAAATTTATTTATATTTCACACCACATTCTCCTTTAGCACCTTCTCAGCCATGAGTTTTCTGTGAGTCGTAGCTTTGCTTATCTGATGCTCTATATGCAAAACTGTGATGTTTCCTATCAGTAAGTCAGTCTCTGTCTCTGTCCCATTCTCTGTCTCTTTGTTCCACTCTAGGATTAGAGTTTGGAGGTTAATATAAACCCTACAATTTGAGAGTGACAAATATTCTAAATTCAAAAGATGAGGAAATAAATAATTTCATAGCATCTTCAAATTTATTACTAAGTAGCCCAAATTCTTCACTGTCAATGTGAAGAACCAGATCAAACTAACATTACTGAGTGTTCAGTATAGCATACAACGCAAGCAGAATACTGGGATGGAAACACAGCCTTGGTGAAGTGGAACTTTTTTTTTTTTTTTTTTTGGTTTTTTCGAGACAGGGTTTCTCTGTGGTTTTGGAGCCTGTTCTGGAACTAGCTCTTGTAGACCAGGCTGGTCTCGAACTCACAGAGATCCGCCTGCCTCTGCCTCCCGGGTGCTGGGATTAAAGGCGTGCGCCACCACCACCCAGCTGGATCTTTTAAACATCTGTGTGTGGGTCTTTCTTTGTCATGTCTTGGGAGCACAGCAGACACGTTCCTCTCAGAACTGCAGCAGCACCCTGGGTATACACTGACCTGTCTGCTTACAGTCCATACCCATGGTGTCCAGAGTTGATTTGTGGTTCTAAAGTTCAGTAGATAGGGACACAGTATGTGTTATACATCTGGATTTCTCTATCACTACTGTTGTTAGTGTTCTTGCTATTAGGAATAAAAACACCACTTTGTCCTTGCAGCGCTGACATTATAATCGAGCGTTACTAGAGGTAGATTTTCACCCCGTTTGTATAGAGTGTGTAATTCTATGCTTTTCTGAAAAGTATCTTTCTATTCCATGATTAGGATGCCACTGGTTTTTACCAGGCTTGAGCAAGCCATGTCTTACTTGTGAGTCTTACTTTGTGATTCTTAGAAATCTTGTGTCAATTTTCAAGTCGAGAAGAACTGGAATATTTAGAAAAAGTAAAATACAGTCTTAGATTCATTTTTATCACTAGTGGCAAAATATTTTACATTGTTTTGGATAAAATATTTTTATTACCGAATTAATATGCATCTGTGATGATATGCAAAGGTTTAAAGACTCAATTGTGTGAAGCCACAGGCTGTTTCATTTTCATTGTGGAATTCACTACACTTTCATACAATGCTACACACTAACATTTGTAGCTATTTGTAGAGCATTTACTTTAAACTAGAATCTTTCATTATAGTCTCTTAAATTAAAAAAATAATAATTTGCAGAGCTTCCATTATTATATTATAAAAGAAGTAATGCTTAAGTTGGATTCCCAATGCTGACACATGACCTCAGTTTGTACAACTTGCCTGCCCCTTGTTTATTTACAAATTTGCTTGTGAAGGTAGAAAGAAATGGGCCACCTAGAGAGCTTTCTGCATGCATATTTAGCATTTAATAATAAAGCTTATTTACATCTATTTTTGGGGGGGGTTTCGAGACAGAGTTTCTCTGTGTTGATTTGGAATCAGTCCTGGAACTAGGTCTTGTAGATCAGGCTGGCCTCAAACTCAGAACTCAGAGATATCTGCCTGCCTCTGCCTCCTGAGTGCTGGGATTAAAGGCGTGTGCCACCACCACCCTGCTATGACTGATATTAAGCTAGTACATCCAAAGCTATTCTTTGTAACTTAAGGATCTCTTGCTTGTGTCAGGTCACCAGGTCACCACCTGGAGGTTCAATTTCTGAATGATTACACAGAGTTATACATAGAACAGAGCCTTTTGAATGCCACAAATATCACCGTCATCTCCGCTTTATTGATAAGTCATACCCATCCTGTCACCGAGTCCTCACTCATGTCTATTCCCAGAAAATATACATACACAGACACCACATACATGCATTCATACATGTGTCATTTTTATATTTAGGTCATGATTTATGTTTGGCTGGGAGAATATTTATTATTTTAATTATGGATGATTACTAATTTTTTTCACTAGAGATAAATATATAAGCTAGATCATATATCTATGTGATATCAGACAGGGTTTTTTAATTTTAAAAGATTTTTTTTTTACACAGGTAAAAGAATACAGTAGGTTCTGTGCAACACTTCTAAATGAGTTTGAGTTTCCTTTAGACGATCTCTGAAATTAAGACACATCAGTTGCTCTTAAACCTTTCATTTTCCAGTATCATTAACTATCATGTCACTATCATTGAGGGTAGCTATGATGGGGGGCACAAAATTCATCGACTCTCCTTATTTTTATATCAGATAATTCCAATGTGTCAGCTATGAAGAAACTGAGTAGAGAATTCCTGTATTATTCAATTTAAAGATTTCTGACATCATTAGATGAAAGGGAACGATGATTTGATTTTTGGGTACTGTACTTTGAAGACCTCAAAAAGGTAAGACAAACCCAAACTCTAAGGGAAAAAAAAATACACAATCACACACCAAAGCAAAAACTAAAACAGATTTCCACCTGAGAAGTCAAGATAGTACTACCTTGCCCCAAACCGGCAAGAATCCAATTACCACAAGGATGGATAGTTACCCATGGCGAAGAAAGGGATTCCCAGCAGGGTGGAGTTGTATTTCCCGTCTGTGATGAAGAAGATCCCAGCTGCAGTGGCGATGGAAATGCATACTGTGAGTACCCCCAGGAGGCCCAGGAAGGGCTTACTGCGCAAGCAGTCCTTCATGGAGCTGGACAGGGTGGCCGTGGTCAGGATCAGCACGAGGCTCACCAGGACCTTGCTTCTGGCCAGGATGCTGGTCTTATGAAAGTCTCTCCAGAGGCTAAAAGATGCCAGAGAGTACAGTTGAAGGTCTTGGTGCTCATCCTGGAGCTTCCTCATAAGCTTACAGAACTCATTCTCCCACTTCTCCCCTATGAGGTCTTGAGTGGCAGAACCATAGGTCTGGAGGTAGTAGGTGATTTGAATGGCTCTGGCTGACTTGACCCGCTGGTCTTTGCTGTTTGGTACTTCCACTACCCCGCCCAGCTGGTGTCCAATAAAACTGTTCCTCCCATCCTTGAAAACAGAAAGAGGGGAGACTTCAGTTACCAGAAGGATGTACATTCCAAGGAACAGTTTCTTATTCTAAGTGAAGAAGCACAGGAATGCAAAGAGAGGTGCCGGTGATGGTGGAATTGATGTGGGTGGAGAGGAGAGTCGGGATTTGAGTCTTAATCTTTTGGAGCTACGTGGGAAACCCTGCAGGACGAACAGGAATAAAGATGGTGGAGAGAGTGTCAAAAAGCCTCATGCGAAAAGGCTCATACATTTGGATTTCCCAAATGCTCTCACTCGGTACCTTTTCTTCTATAGAAATCTAGTCCAATTCCTTAAAAGCAGATCAAGTTTATGATTTATGTTTAGCTGTAAGTAGAGCAAGGCATGAGGCTCACCCTAGGCCATGCTAAAAAGATGGAGTAAATTTTCCTTCAAAGAGATACTACATATATCCTTCCCAGAACTCCTGGCCCTAGTCCTGCCCTGATAAGTTACCACAAGTTCTACAGTGTCCTTGTTCCCTTTTCTGACTTTTTCTTTCAGATGCTGACCAGAATGTAAATTAGTTTTATTTCCTTGATACTTTGGGCTTCCTTATTTTCTGTAGAGCCTCCTTTCCTGCCATATATCTGACCTTTGTTCTAGCTCAATGGCATGTTTTTTTTTCTTCCTTCTTTTTCTAGTCTCCTCCTCTACCAGTTTTTGATATTTAGTTTGCCCTGGGTGGTCTCCTTTTAAATTCTAAGAAAATTGTCTTTGAGCTTCAAAACGTAACATGTAATCATCCTATATATAAATATGCTAAGGTTTCCAGTATCAACATAGGCACCAACATGCAGACAAGAACAGCCTTACTTCCTTACATTTGTGTGGTCAAATGAATAGTTCAGAAGAGGATAAATACCTTTCTCAAAGCTAGTGTGGTATTGAAACAATTCCTGCATGTGGTATCAGCACCTGCTGGGTCTGTACAATCTCCCCCTCCCCTGACAACACCTGAATCTGTCTTAGACTTATCGTCTCCTATAGGTAAATTCTCAAAGGAAGCTGATAAAATTTTCAGATAGTATCACCAAATGGTGTCCAAGCTTCAATGCTGAGCTTCAGGAGGGGTAGACAAGACCATCATCCTAGGAATTGGGTAAACAAAGCAGTAATCCTTCTTTAAAGCACACTCACTTAGAATTGCCAGTTATTCTCATCCAATGAGGGTGCTCTCTGATTGCCATCACAAAACTTTAATCTATTTGGAAATACTATTTTTATCAAAGATGTCTCCACACTTTGGTGGTAATGGCTGATAGAATGTTGAGCCCAAAAGTAAGTTTCAGGATGATTTATAGGGCTGAGAATACATTGTTGGTATCAGGTGAGATGTAGGCACAAAAGAAAGTTTATCCTACAAGTAGTTTGTATGTGAATGGAGTCGGGAAACATGTTCTCAATAGGGTATAAAAGAGTTGATTCTTAGAAAGGAGCATTTCTCTCTAGAGAGCAGTAGGCAACGGCAGCAGAACACTGACCAGTGTGTTGACCATAGGTATTTACATGGAACTACCAGGCATCTAGCTAGCATTTGAGATAATTTGTTTAATCCAGACATATGAGGCAATTGTTTGTATTTTGTTTTAACATGCACAAAAGTGTCCCCAACATTTCAGCATGTATTGTAAACATGAGAAGTTGGAGATATTTAGAGAATGCAATCTCAACTTGGAGAATGATCAAACATTGAAAGAGAACAATATCACAGTCACTCTGTGTATCTTCCCCTTTGTGCTAAATAGTTACAACCACCTTAAGAAACCAAACCACTGGGCAGTGGTGATGCACTCCTTTAATCCCAGCACCCAGGAGGCAAAAGTGGTGGATCTCTATAAATTTGAGGTCAGCTTGGTCTATAGAGTTAGTTCCAGGACAGCCAGGTCTACAAAAGAAACCCTGTCTGGAAATCCACAAAGAGAGAGAGAGAGAGAGAGAGAGAGAGAGAGAGAGAGAAAGAGGGAGAGAGAGAAAGAGGGAGGGAGGGAGGGAAGGAAGGAAGGAAGCCAAACTTGACCAAACCCAAATGAATAATTTATTTCCTAACGACAATTTGATTTGTGGGTTCTCCTTGGTGTACTGACTACTGCAATGAATCTTTGTAATCTTACTATTTCTTTTCTTTCTTAAAACTAAACTGGGGCTGGAGATATAGCTCAACAGTTAAGAACCCTGCTCTTCTAGAGGACCCAGGTTCAAATCCCAGAACACAGAAGGTAGCATATGATTATCTATAATTCCAGTTCCAAGAAATCTGGCTCCTCTTCTGGTCTCTACAGGCACATGATACTCACTTTGTGCACAGAACTACATGCAGGCAAAACACCCATAGAAATAAAAATAAGTATAAAGCATAATATCAAACTGAAAGTCGGATTGTAAGTTTCCTTGTTTAAACCCATTGGATCTTGCAAAGATTGTTGGCAAGATTTGAGGAAAGCGATGTGAATCATGCCTCAGAACTGAGTAACTGCGGGTATAGTTTGTGTTTGCTCACCAGATCCAAATTGCTCACTTATTTGATGTATTTTATCTAAATACTGACATAATATTTTGGTTCAATTTTTCTTTCTATAGCTTTGAAATTCTGTCTTTATTTAAACGTGTGTGTGTCTGATCATCTGAGAAAGCCATATCCCACAAGCTCTCTTTCTTTTTAAGAATGTGTTGTTCTATCTTAGCTCCTTTCTGTCATTAAAAAAAAAAAAACCTCTAGGGATTTTTGGCAGCAGTGCAGAGTTAGGTGCTCTCAGGTCTCACTTGGAGATTATAGTGGATAAGAAAGGTGCTGATCACATGTCTGGACAAAAATCAAAATTTTAAAGATGTATAGATTATAGATTTTTAAATAGTCAAAATTTATTCAGTTTGACCAGCTGCCAACCTTCCTTTTGAAGTTGCTTAATTTTCATTTTTTTTTTAAAAAAATAAAAGTGCTTTATAAGAGATAGATCCTTACTGTATCTTCCCTCATTATATTTCAGTAAATAACAATGAATTACTGGTCAATGTTTAAATCTATGCACCTGTACAATATAGATGAGGTGTTTTGACATCCATCCCACATGAAAACTTAATTGGATGGTTGCAATATGTACATGCATTTGGCACAGCCAACCTATGCACTCCAGATAGTAGTAATGGGTTCTTTAGAAATCCAGACATACACATTATGGGCATGACAACATTCTACTTTTAGATAAGAGTGATAAAGAGTTTGTTTTCTCAAACTAATCGATCATTAGATACTTCTAAGTAGGAAAAACTGAGAATGAATGTAGCAAATATTCTACTTCTTGAGAAACTTCCTTGAACTCATAATATACTCAGGTAGGTTAATGCAGTGAACTGCTCAGAAGATCATGTGACTTGAGTTGTACCATGTTAACTCCTTCTAGTTGGGAGAACTAACAGGGAGAACTTCTATATAGTTCATTATCTCTGTCATCTTCAGTTTTCTTAACTCAACAAGAGATATGAATATATGAAGTGATGGTTATAGGATACAGAAGTAAGTTTTCAGCTTTCTAACTCTATGAAAAAACTACCTACACAAAGAGTTGGGAGAGACCTGAATGTCAGCAATGCTGTTCCTACAACTATTTGTTCAATATATTGGTTATTTCAGCAGCAGGCTAAGATCTAACTATTCATGGGTAGAACTCTTTTATTTGCTAGGTGAGTGAGCCTGGATGCGTAGAAAAGGCATACCTGTTAGTTTTGTTAGTTTCTATTAAGATCTGACACCAACTCCAATCCTTCTAGACCTTCATTGAGGCAGAGAAACCACTTTGACTCGTATATGAACACTTATTTTAACTGTGGATCCCCCTTTCCAACTTTCCTCCTCTTCATCTAAGGCAGCCTGTCAGGTAAAATCTTGCCTGGAATTTGACTCAGCCTCCTCATTACTCATCATAACTTCTCACACAAATTTTGAAATTTCTCTGAGTCTAGAAGTCTCGTTGCTATGAAGGTATCGGTTAATTTTTTAAATGGTAGGATGGTAGCATGCTGCCTTCAGTATTGCTCCATTTCGGTGCTGTATTGAGCTCAGCTGCCATGTCTCCAACACAAGATGGCATCAGGTCTCCAGTTAAATCATGGTCTGATTCTGCCATTCCCCAATGTACTCTCTACATTGTAGTCATGGCCTACTCAGACAATTGCAAATGAGACCACATCATCTCTATACCTGAACCCTCCACTGGTTTGAACTTGCACTAGGCCTGCAACGGGGGCTCTTTATCAGAACTGCAGAGTGATGGATGGCCACAGCTAGAGATGTCTTCTGACCCTGCTCTCCCTGTGTCTCTTCCTCCTTGAACACATCCCATTAATTTCCATCTTCAGGTTTGTGTCTGATGTTCTCATTGCTTTGAATATTTCCCTATATTCTTCTTAAATCCAAGACTACTTCTTGTTATGGATGTCTTAGCTTAAAACAACAACAGCAACATCAACAACAAACTATTTAAATCTAACCTAAACTGGACACTCTGTTTCCCAAGGCCATTGCACTGTCTTGTTTTATGAGCGTCCTGCTAATGACATCTACCTGAGATAATTGTATATAGTCATTCAATTTCTCCTTTTCTGTATCTTCAATTAGAGCACACACTAACTGAGATCCATGACCTTTCCTGGCTTGCTGACTAATAACTTCCTGAAGCCTTAAACAAGCCCAGTCTCTGCATAACGCTCGTTAGTTGAGTGAACTCACCTTTTCGTGTAAACCACTAATCACATTACATTGCAGAGATTGTTTTGCTAAAATTGGGTAATTTGAACTATCCTTTTTTTCCCCCCAATCTCTTTAGTTTCTCGTATCATGTCCCCAGCATATATTACTTTTCATCATTCGCTGTGCATCAAGCCCATGCAGGACAATAGGTCACTACTAGTGACAGCAGACAGGGGGCCCCAGTGAGTGCAAGACAGCCAGTGAAGAAGCATTCACATGTACTAGGCTTGAA